TGATTTAGATACCACCAGATCAAGGTGTGCGAGGTATGATCAAAATTACATTTATAACTCATAAATGTCATTAAGAGTTTCTTGCAATGTCTCATGGGCTCACCAATGCCCTAGCAACCTCAAATCGACCATGAACAAAACTTTTCTAATATTTTACATCAGTTTGTCATATAATTTTTAATAATATCCTAATTTACAATAAGTATGAAGACAATGATCACATGTCCTAGATATTTTGAATTATGCAAGAGCATCACTTTCATATTAATCCCAAGAAGTTAACTTCTGGATAGCAATGGGTCTCATACTTGGGCCATTGGATTTCAACTAACAAGATTGTCATGGACCCTAAAAAGGTTGTCATTGTCATATGGTGGCCGTCCCCACCAACCTCTATGAGCTCTGTTGATTCTCAATTAAATGACATGGTGACCCTGCCCACTTACAGCTCATATCTAATGATCTAGAATAGATTAGGCCACAAAAATTGATAGATTAGCCGTACATGTGTGCCTCTCTACCTGTGTAACTCTCATGTATTTAGGATGCCATTTAACGGGGGCGGAGAACCTTACTTTGGATGCCTCAATGTTGAGCCAACTTGCATGAAACATCATTGAAGTTTCATATCATTGTTGATGTGTTTTTGTTGATCCAAGTGCTATTATACATTTTGGATCATAAAGAAGGTTTCCTTGAAGATAAAAGCGTATAACCTTGGAGAAATATGAAGGCTCGAAGTAAGTTTTTTAGATCTAGTATGTTCTGCATAATGAATTTAGATAGTCATAACCTTATAATAAATAGACTTTGGGTTTAGATTCGATCTTTTAATCATTCAACAAGTGTCTCACTCTCTATTCACCATTCACCTTTAAATTTCCTTTTTCCCACTCTTAGATTGCATGATATCTATCTTGTTCTTCTCTCATTAATCATTCTCTCACCTCTGATCATCATATTCCATTTAATTGGAATAGTGACTACCAAAGCACATGTTTCTCATTCCTTGTGGTTCAATTTGGTCTTACCTAGTTAGTTTTCAGTTAGTTTCAGCCTAAATATTAAATTATTTGATAGATAAGATCCTCGAATTCAATGACATTCAAGTTAAGAATATAAAACTATTTGCCACATGTTTTACTAAGGTCAAGTGATGATTTTGAAGTCATGAAAGTTCATACTTAACCTATTAAGAAAATTCCACATAACTCGACTATTGAAGGGCACTCTAATTTTCTATGAATTTCCTTGTAACTAGCTTGCAGCATTTGGTGAATGAGCATGACGGGTTAGGTGCAAAGTGTGTAGTGGTATGTTTCATCTACTAAACCAACACGTCCAAAGCTCTCTCACTATAGACTCTTTAGTTGCTATTGATTCTAGAGTGAATTTAGAAAGATCTAACCATAGATTATATTAAAGGATTACCCAATTCTAGCATATGGAATGTAAAATAGGTGGTCGTGGATTTTCTAAGCAAATATGCCCACTTCTCAACCCTTGACATCTATTTACAAATCAATACATTGTGGATAATTTTTTCCAGGATATTATTCGGCTGCGCAAACATTTCGAGTTTATTCTGGTCAATCCCGATTACATTTTTATGAGTAAACTTTGATAGTAATTATCTAGGCTTCAACAAATCATTTTATACCACCTTCAGACGGACAGTTGGATGTCCTGAACAAAGGGCTGGAAACGTCTCAGTGGCAGAAGTGGCTTCCTTCGTAAGGATAACGTATAACACCTTCAGCGGCCAAATCATGGTTTACCGCCAACTATAACAGCTTAGTAGGGATAACGTATTTCCTTCGTTTTCTGGTATACAGAATGATCGGGACGCCCGGCTCCAATCGTCCGGCGGAGGATGGAGGGGGCGGGGGGGAGAGGGCAAGGTTTGACGGTCTTTTGGCATCTTCTGGCCCCCGTGGCGGTGCCTATCAGCATCACCCCCGTGGCCGTGAGGGTCATCGCTCCCGCAAGGAGAGGTCGTGAGGGTCTTCCTCTGTTCCGGGGGAGCGGGGACCGTCGCATTCTCCTTCCCAACCTAGGTTATGTTTAATTCAGATTGAGGCAATTTATTACGGAGAAGCTTCTGGACTGGTGCTTCCACGCTGCTTGTGCTCTATGTGAGTCACTGTAAAGGAAGATTTTCTCTCTCTACCTTGTCGAAGAAGGAATTGGGCTTTGGGAATTGGTAATCTGCCCTCTGCTCACCGCTGAAGAACCGATGAAACTGAGGACGATCCAAGTGGCTGTCAACCTAATTCCCCCAGTAAAAAAATATTATTATTTTCAGAAATCAGGAAAAACATTATATTCACACGAAATAAAGGCACAAACTTTACATAGGCAAGCCACGAAACATGGCGGAGAGGTCCTGACTGGTCCAATCCGTCCGTACGGGATGGGAAAGATGTGCACACAGCTTGATCATCATGGCGGTTTTTGAGTCCCGAAGTTCTCCCTCTCTCTCTCTCTGTTTCTTCAGTGTCCTTCAGCAGTTAGCAAGGGGCAGAGTTGTCGTCCTCGACACCTGTAGCGCAGCTGGGACGGCTGCTCCGAGATGCTTCAGCGGGATGAGGCCGCACCATGCTTGGAAAGCCAGAGTGAGGACTCTGAGGATGCAGGCGGCGGCCAACAGCTTGCCCGGGTGACGTTGGGCAGAACTCGGGGCTGACTTTGGATTCGAGAGGATCCACACGAGCAAAGAGAAGAGGAAGAGAGTGATGTAGGCGATGAACAGCCACCAGGATCTTTCGAGGCGTGGATCTGAACTCAAAGCCCCTGCGGCCATCAGAAACATTGCCTTGGTGCCGGGGATCAGCTGCACCCCGCTTCCGAGGACAGCTGGAATGCAACTGCCAACTTGCCGCCGCTGCCCTCGCCACCGCCTCCGTCGTCTTTGATTGGAAGAATGACGCCCGGCTCCATTCGCCCGAGGGAGGAGGGAGGAAGGGCGAGGCTTGAACGGAGGGCTCAACTCGCAGATTTACCGCGGTCCGTCGCCACCGTCTCTCCCCTTTAAATCCTATTTTAAGAAAGCGGGTGCTAGTGCCGTCCTTCTCATTCTTGATAGTCTGCGCTCCGCATCTAGGAAGCTTCCTCAAAAGCTTTGACTTTTCCATCCCTCCGCCTCCAATCCGCCTAAAAAGCATAGAACAGTCAAGATAGAAACTGAAATGCCATCAATAAAGACAAGAATTTTAAGTCAATGAATGAAGATGCTTCAGTCCTTCGAAGACATCATGCTGCTGGGCCGATCCAAATCGAAGTAAAAACTCGGACTCGCTGGGCTGATCTGGTCGGCTCACTATTCCCCTTCCCAACCTAGCTTATGTTTAAGAATTCTTGCAATATTTAATGTTATCTATTTAATAATAAATATTAATTCAGAATATATCAATCTATTACGGAGAAGCTTCTGGACTGGTGCTTCTCCGCTGCTTGTGGCCCATGTGCAACACGGTGAAGGGGGATTTTATCTCTCTCTACCTCGTCTGAGGAAGGAATAGTGTGGGCTTCGGACGCTGGGCTTTTCTGCTCAGCCCACTATTCCCCTTCCCAACCTAGATTATGTTTAAAAATTCTTACAATATTTATTTTTTGTGTATTTAAGAATAAATATTATATCAGATTATGTTAATTTATTACGGAGAAGCTTCTGGACTGGTGCTTCTGCGTTGCTTGTAGTCCATGTGCATCACGGTGAATGGGGATTTTATCTCTCTCTCTCTCCACCTCATCTGAAGAAGTAATTGGGAATCAAACTAATGTTCCTTCTGTTTGTTTAAATATATCTAGATCAATTCCTCACACCTCCTTCCTTATTGGATCCACACCCAGATGATCCTTGGGCCATCCTCCGCCGTTGGATGGAAAACTAACGACGAAGAGAGATCACTATCTAGGGGTAAAACGGTAAATAAACACCTCCCCGATTCACTCGAGAGATCATCTACTATAGCTTCGGTTCTAAGAACCTGAAACTGGTTCACTCAAGCTTCTGCCCGTATCGTCGTCCTGAACAACTGCAACCCCGCGAGGACGGCTACGCGGAAATCCTGCCGCGCGGTGAGGCCCCACAAAACTTGCACGAGGACTCTGAGGACGTAGGCGGCGCCCAGCAACTTCCCCTGCTGCCGGCGTTGGGCTAATAATCTCGGCGCTGCCGACGACGGATGGCAGAGGATCCACACCACAAGAGCCAAGGCGTAGAGAGTCATGTACGCGATGAACAGGCACCAGGGGACTGCATCCGAAGTAATTAAGATGAGCAGAGATTTCAGTATGTCGAGTGACTCTGATCCTACTTGCAACGCGACTTCCAGCTCGCCGCCGCTGGCCTCCTGCCCGCCTCCATCGTCGTTGATCGGAAGGGCGGCAATGATGACATCCCCCGCGGCCGCGGCCGCCTCCATCATGAGTCTTCCACGCACCCCTACAAGATGGACGAGGGAATTGGGAAGGATGAGAAGAAGATGGAAGGCAGTGTGCAAAGCGGGGGGGAGCACTCTGGTTGGGCGTCTTCTTCCCCGGCGGAGCGTCCCCCGAAGGAGAGGGAGGGAGGGAGGGAGGGAGGCAGTATGAAAAGCGGAGTTGCGTCCATGTATATAGATGAAATCGGGGGAAGGGGTGGGGCCGTCGGGATTGTTATTTTCATCCGCCGGGTGCCGCACTCTGGTTCCCGAATGTAGGGCGTCGCCGGCAAACTACATCTTTTCCTTCGGGGTCGAATTTTTTAAATTTTTTCCAAAAGAATATTATTTTCTCCTTCGGGATCGGCTTGGATACGGAGGGATGGAAAAGTCAAAGCTTTTGAGGAAGCTTCCTAGATGCGGAGCGCAGACTATCAAGAATGAGAAGGACGGCACTAGCACCCGCTTTCTTAAAATAGGATTTAAAGGGGAGAGACGGTGGCGACGGACCGCGGTAAATCTGCGAGTTGAGCACTCCGTTCAAGCCTCGCCCTTCCTCCCTCCTCCCTCGGGCGAATGGAGCCGGGCGTCATTCTTCCAATCAAAGACGACGGAGGCGGTGGCGAGGGCAGCGGCGGCAAGTTGGCAGTTGCATTCCAGCTGTCCTCGGAAGCGGGGTGCAGCTGATCCCCGGCACCAAGGCAATGTTTCTGATGGCCGCAGGGGCTTTGAGTTCAGATCCACGCCTCGAAAGATCCTGGTGGCTGTTCATCGCCTACATCACTCTCTTCCTCTTCTCTTTGCTCGTGTGGATCCTCTCGAATCCAAAGTCAGCCCCGAGTTCTGCCCAACGTCACCCGGGCAAGCTGTTGGCCGCCGCCTGCATCCTCAGAGTCCTCACTCTGGCTTTCCAAGCATGGTGCGGCCTCATCCCGCTGAAGCATCTCGGAGCAGCCGTCCCAGCTGCGCTACAGGTGTCGAGGACGACAACTCTGCCCCTTGCTAACTGCTGAAGGACACTGAAGAAACAGAGAGAGAGAGAGGGAGAACTTCGGGACTCAAAAACCGCCATGATGATCAAGCTGTGTGCACATCTTTCCCATCCCGTACGGACGGATTGGACCAGTCAGGACCTCTCCGCCATGTTTCGTGGCTTGCCTATGTAAAGTTTGTGCCTTTATTTCGTGTGAATATAATGTTTTTCCTGATTTCTGAAAATAATAATATTTTTTTACTGGGGGAATTAGGTTGACAGCCACTTGGATCGTCCTCAGTTTCATCGGTTCTTCAGCGGTGAGCAGAGGGCAGATTACCAATTCCCAAAGCCCAATTCCTTCTTCGACAAGGTAGAGAGAGAAAATCTTCCTTTACAGTGACTCACATAGAGCACAAGCAGCGTGGAAGCACCAGTCCAGAAGCTTCTCCGTAATAAATTGCCTCAATCTGAATTAAACATAACCTAGGTTGGGAAGGAGAATGCGACGGTCCCCGCTCCCCCGGAACAGAGGAAGACCCTCACGACCTCTCCTTGCGGGAGCGATGACCCTCACGGCCACGGGGGTGATGCTGATAGGCACCGCCACGGGGGCCAGAAGATGCCAAAAGACCGTCAAACCTTGCCCTCTCCCCCCCGCCCCCTCCATCCTCCGCCGGACGATTGGAGCCGGGCGTCCCGATCATTCTGTATACCAGAAAACGAAGGAAATACGTTATCCCTACTAAGCTGTTATAGTTGGCGGTAAACCATGATTTGGCCGCTGAAGGTGTTATACGTTATCCTTACGAAGGAAGCCACTTCTGCCACTGAGACGTTTCCAGCCCTTTGTTCAGGACATCCAACTGTCCGTCTGAAGGTGGTATAAAATGATTTGTTGAAGCCTAGATAATTACTATCAAAGTTTACTCATAAAAATGTAATCGGGATTGACCAGAATAAACTCGAAATGTTTGCGCAGCCGAATAATATCCTGGAAAAAATTATCCACAATGTATTGATTTGTAAATAGATGTCAAGGGTTGAGAAGTGGGCATATTTGCTTAGAAAATCCACGACCACCAATTTTACATTCCATATGCTAGAATTGGGTAATCCTTTAATATAATCTATGGTTAGATCTTTCTAAATCTTTATAAATTCACTCTAGAATCAATAGCAACTAAAGAGTCTATAGTGAGAGAGCTTCGGACGTGTTGGTTTAGTAGATGACACATACCGCTACACACTTCGCACGTAACCCTTCATGCTCATTCACCAAATGCTGCGAGCTAGTTACAAGGAAATTCATAGAAAATTAGAGTGCCCTTCAATAGTCGAGTTATGTGGAATTTTCTTAATAGGTTAAGTATGAACTTTCATGACTTCAAAATCATCACTTGAATGTCATTGAATTCGAGGATCTTATCTATCAAATAATTTAATATTTAGGCTGAAACTAACTGAAAACTAACTAGGTAAGACCAAATTGAACCACAAGGAATGAGAAACATGTGCTTTGGTAGCCACCATTCCAATTAAATGGAATATGATGATCAGAGGTGAGAGAATGATTAATGAGAGAAGAACAAGATAGATGTCATGCAATCTAAGAGTGGGAAAAAGGAAATTTAAAGGTGAATGGTGAATAGAGAGTGAGACACTTGTTGAATGATTAAAAGATCGAATCTAAACCCAAAGTCTATTTATTATAAGGTTATGACTATCTAAATTCATTATGCAGAACATACTAGATCTAAAAAACTTACTTCGAGCCTTCATATTTCTCCAAGGTTATACGCTTTTATCTTCAAGGAAACCTTCTTTATGATCCAAAATGTATAATAGCACTTGGATCAACAAAAACACATCAACAATGATATGAAACTTCAATGATGTTTCATGCAAGTTGGCTCAACATTGAGGCATCCAAAGTTAGGTTCTCTGCCCCCATTAAATGGCATCCTAAATACATGAGTTACACAGGTAGAGAGGCACACATGTACGGCTAATCTATCAATTTTCGTGGCCTAATCTATTCTAGATCATTAGATATGAGCTGTAAGTGGGCAGGGTCACCATGTCATTTAATTGAGAATCGACAGAGCTCATAGAGGTTGGTGGGGACGGCCACCATATGACAATGACAACCTTTTTAGGGTCCATGACAATCTTGTTAGTTGAAATCCAATGGCCCAAGTATGAGACCCATTGCTGTCCAGAAGTTAACTTCTTGGGATTAATACGAAAGTGATGCTCTTGCATAATTCAAAATATCTAGGACATGTGATCATTGTCTTCATACTTATTGTAAATTAGGATATTATTAAAAATTATATGACAAACTGATGTAAAATATTAGAAAAGTTTTGTTCATGGTCGATTTGAGGTTGCTAGGGCATTGGTGAGCCCATGAGACATTGCAAGAAACTCTTAATGACATTCATGAGTTCTTAATGCAATTTTAATCATACCTCGCACACCTTGATCTGGTGGTATCTAAATCATGAATCTAGTTTAGAAAATAATTACGTTTTGTACAGCTCATCCATCAATTCTTCAGCCACTAGTATGGAAAAGCAATCAGGAATGGTAACCTTGTTTACAAACACAATAATCCACACAAATCATCACATCTGTCTTTTTATTTATTTATGAGAAAGGCAAGAAGCTAAAGAATGAATTGTGTGAATGTTGAATGATCCATATGACTAACATTTAACCCACATATTTTCCTAATTTCATTTTTTTTGAAAATATGGATATCTGATAGGTTGTATGTGGATCGGTTTACTTCTAGGTTCTAATGACATTTTATGGTCTAGGAAGCCCCTTGATGTCTCTTCAAATATTTCTAAGAATTGATTTTTTTAACTTGGTTGTCAAGGGCAAGAGGATTTCTTCGAGATCACTAGGGGTGAGTTGAAATAATTCACATGGCTCCACCATGATTTGAAGATTGATAGATTTGATGATTTAAAGGGGGTCTACCATCAACACGACCTCTTCTGTTCAAGCACAAAAGGAATGAGTCCATCTTTTGAAATCAAATTCTCCATTTCTTTGATTCTTCATCTAGTGGAGTTCAATAATGATATCCATTGTCATGGCAAGATCAACATAGATAGATATCACTAGCAAGTCAATATTGAGATGTTTGCACTTATAGGTTCTTGACACCACTTCTCTTGTTTGGTGGTAACTTGATAGTTTGAGACCATCGACACTAAAAGATTGAGTTCTTCAACTAGCAGATGGGTGATGAAAGTATGGGAGACTCTAGTGTCAACTAAGATGGAAATTGGTCTACTATGAATATGTCACTAAAATTTTAGACCCCAATCAAATGCCCTATTTAATAGAGAATTTAAAATTACCTCCCGATGAGTTAAGGTTTATTCTTTGCTAGGATGTCAAAGGAGCCTTATGCCATCGCTTGCAGATTTGGTAAGAAATTCGAATTGACCAAGGTCAACAAGATGTTCAGTTACTTTATGCATTTATGTATATGGAAGAACTGAAGAATTTATCATGCAATAGAAGAAAAAAATTGAGCCCATCTTCTCTAGATTTCTACTATATGAGATATGACTTCTTCTATTTGTTGAGCAAATTCAAGGATCTCTCCTACTCTCTATTGATTTTTTTACTTATCAAGATTTTGTCCTTCTAATTTGTTTGTTATGGAGCGTATACTAAGAATAAATTTATGCTATTTTGATGCATTATTTTTTAAAACTCTCAAGATTTTATAGTAATTCGGCACATGGCCTATGTCCACTCTCCAAGAATAATCGAGTTCTTAAGTTCTACTACTTCAAATAATTTGATCACACCCATTGATTAATGAAATCAGCTCCCATAGAGTCTCATTAGAAACTCTACTCTAGAATCACAACTCTAGAGAGCTCACTATTGTTCAAGGGACTCCCACAACAGATCAGGATTTTTCGTTTGTATTTATAACAAATATGAAAGGATTCCATTGTGGGTTATCTTTCAAAGGTAGGTTAAACATTAATGCTCTAGATATTTGATGAAGAAGAGATGAAGGGATATTCAATGAATGTTGCTATCTCTTTGTTGAGATGCTAGTCGAGTATTGATAGTTTATTCTATTTTTACTCAATCAACAAGGCTCATTCAATACAACATAGTTTTTCTTTACATTAATCACTTTGAGTTTGCTCGCATCACACGCTTGACCTTCATTTTATCTCATTTTGAGTATCTACAAAAGAATATTATTGTGATAATAAGAGAGATTGATTAGAAAAAATAGTCATTGTTATATTCCATTAGAATATAAAGATATTTATAGATGTATTTATTAAGTTTGATGTGGCTAAGTGAAGTACTAAGAGAAGGGGTGAATTGATTCCCTATGTGTTCTTCTATTTTTCTTTATGTGTATATATATGGTGACACACATTCCAATATAGTCTAGCTGATTTATATATACTTAATTTGAATCTTTTCCATTCACTACAAGTTCACTCAAGTTTCTCTCTCACTTTCAACAATATTTGAGACAGATTTTATTTTACTTTACCTTTCTTAGGCTATGTCTATAAATGAAAGATTCTCGTATAAAATTCTACTAATTTTCTCTAAAACATAGCTAATTTCACAGGCTCAGCTCTTAATAATAGTATTGTTTGATCTCCGCAAATATCTAAACTCTTACAAGAAAGCCCTAACTCACAACACTATGTGCCTAAGTCAACATAAAATTCTCATTAAAGAAAAATATCTTCTGTAGGTGAAGATTAGCTCTCAGCACCTCGTGTTTTAGTTTTACCCATTTGCCAATCACTAGGTAGGTTACCTTAAGACTTGATGGAGAAATATAGCCTTTAACATAGTTATTTAATTTGTAAGTCACTCCAAATGATTGACTAAGATTAAGCTTTGAATCATTCTTTGAATGAATTTTCTTCTTGAGCTCGTGTAAATAATATTAAAAATATTTCTTTGTTCAGTATTAGCATTTGTTCATCCTTAGCTCGTCATTCTTATACTTCAATAGATCCACATCAT